TATTTCGAACAGTTAAAGTCAGAAGTAACAGATGAAAAAGTTGTTATACAAGTTGATTTCGCTGAAAATTTTGGATTGAAAGAGCAAGACGAAATTCAAAGTGCTCATTGGAATAGAAAAACTCTATCTATATTTACAGCTTATGTATGGTCTAAAAGGTTTTTCATTTACGCTTCCATCGAATGGCGTCTCTCACGATAAATTTGTTGTAAACTCGGCTATTGAAATTATTTTAAATGAACTTAAAACACGTGTACCGAATTTAAAACAAATTGATTTCTTTTCTGATGGCGCAGTCTCATAATTTAAGCAACGTTTTATGTTTCGTAATTTAATTCAGATTGCTCATGAATATAAAATAGCTTTAAGTTGGAGTTTCTTTGCTACAAGTCATGGAAAAGGTGTTGTTGATGGTCTTGGTGGGACTGTTAAGAGGCTCGTTTGGTCAGCAGCATTGGCAGGTGATAATTATAAATCAGCGAAAGATTTTGTTAAGTTAGCGCAACAGGAAACAAAGAAGATAATTATGATTGAAATTACGAAAAATGATATTGATAATTCAAAACTAAAACTAGAAAATATATTTAAAGTAGCTAAATCTGTACCAGAAACACTCAAAACACATTCTGTAAAAGTAATTGATAATAAAACAAAGAAAATAATTAAATATGACTAAAGAAATTTTTTTCTTATCGATATATTTTGTTTTCATTGCAGCGGCTGTTTGTAAATACATGTTGTGTGAGTGTGTTTTTAATGTTGAAAGCCGATGAAAGGCAAAAAAGGAAATGTTCCCTTGGCCAGGGTTCTTGACGATTAGGCCACAGAAAACAGAAAAAAATGTACGAAAAAGGCATTACCCAGTTCCAGGAGGCAGGGTCTTCGTCCCGAGCTGGAGAAACGCTAGTATTTGAGACAGCGTGTTCTTAAATGCTAGTGGCTAAGCGCCTCTGTCGTTGAAGAAGAAAGCTCATAGAGCGGCTATCATCATTATGCTTCAAGTGTCTTACGTGGAAGAAAAAGATGGTTCATCCATTAGTTAGGGGAGTCCTAAGGTTCAAGAAACTACCTTAGAGTAGGGAAATGCAGTAATTTCGCTCTTTTAGGACTAAAGAATGTTTCATCCAACAATTATTTCGTCATTGAAAACCTCACCTTTATGAGAAAAAACGAAGTCACAGCGTCACGTTAATAAATTGGATTTTCTAATGGACACAAAGGGTCTGAAACAAAGTTCTTTTTAGCAATAGATAGCTCTTTAGTTATTCTACAAACTTCTCTCTAGGAAAGCGTGTTTTGTTAAATGAACTTCACAGGAAATTTGCATTTAATTAGCAACACTCAGAAAAAAGGGCCTTTTTTGTCACAGTGTCACGGCCGGAAAAATTGTTCTGTAGACTAGAGACTTAACTCAATTTTTTTTTCTTTTATATCATAAATAGAGCGAGGTAAGCTGTATCGAATGCCGCCAGAACCAATCTTCTAGCTCTTCTACTTTTTGAGCTGATTTAAAATTAACGTGTAAAAAGAGTCACAGCGTCACGCTTGGACAAGCCGTATAGGTGAATGAGAGATAATTATTAAATTTTAGTATATGGTTATAACTAAATGGTGGAGAATAAACAACTGAACAAGTAAAAACACAAAAAGAATTGAGATTCGATTCCCAGTTCCTTGAGCTGTAGGTACAAAACAAAAGTACGACAAAATATTACAAAACAAAAATGTTGTTAAACAAGAAAAGAAGACGATTGCAAATTTTTTATTTTACGGTACTTACTTATGACAGTCGTCGTCGTATTCCAGCAGCTCAAAAACTGACTGTTACCGTTCGTCTCTCTCTTTTATCAGATAATTTGTGTAGTCTTGATCGATAACTTGGCGCTCATTATGAGAGAGATTGAAAAGTTGACTTTTTTAGCGCTAGACGGAGATAGCTGAAGCCTCGGGTAATGAATATGAGCACTACCTAAATATTTTCTGAAAGTTTCATCAACAAAGCGTGAACGGCCTCATATCTAATTCTGTTCATATTTCTTATATAGTAGTTTACCTGAACCGATCACCAAATATTAGATAACTTTTATAACCAGATTGTCGTTTCTTTTCTGGCCTAAAGTCAAAAGTATTGATAATCTTATTATAAAATTGAGAATCTAACTTACTCTTTCATCTCATTATCAACTTCTGCCATAGATCGTGCGCCACGTTTAGTATCCAGAAGATCTTCCTAATTCCTTAATGGTAGACCGATTAACTTTACACCACGGACAAAAATGTGTACCACTAACAGCATTGAGTCCAAATAAAATTAATAACATTTTATAATCGCATGCTAATCTATAAGACAGTATACGTATTACAGTCATCATTTTCATAATATGAAAGATACGTACTTAAACTTTATTGAAAATTGTTCACCATTGATGTACGACGATTTTGTTGCATTCCGTTGATTAATTCATCTGGTATAACTTGTTTTACATTATCATAGTTTTCATCTTCCATCTTGCATAAGCCAATTGGTAATGATTTAGAAGCAATTTGTTGTGTACGTGAACTAAACTGAGGACAACTCACAAGTAAAACGAGTAATTTCAGTTTTTCACCGACCTGGGTTGCGGCTATTGACAAGCGTATTGTCATACTACGTCTTATTCTTGATATTGATGTTTGATTTGTATGTATCAATGTTTTTATTGCATCTTCAATTCGAATATATGATTCAAATTCAGTGTTTATAACATTAATGTTTTCATTCATTTGTTGTCGAATGTTTCTTAAGTTCCATACACTTGGCATTGTATTATTAATATGATGTATTTCGTTCATGGCATGGTCGGATATATTGTGCTTCAATTTTCAATGAAATACACTAGGATTGTCCTGTGGTATTATTTCTGCTGTTGGTAAATCTGCTGATGTTTTTGTGGTTAATAATGTTTCGTCAGTATCTGATGAATCTGAATAATGATCTGATTTACTGTGTGTTTGGTTGGATTTTGGTCGCCGTGTATATGGATGTGATGTTGTTGGTGTTGTTCGTTTCAATTTTTCTTCGAAATAATAGTCAATTGAACCTCGTTGTAATCTTATTCGTTTTCGTCTTTGTATTGGTGAAGCGCCTAAATTAAAAGAAAATGACTGTGGTGATGGGGATCTTGGTCGTGGTGGCAGAGGTGTAGCATATGATAGTGACGTCATGGGTGGAATTATTGGTGAGGAATTAGTATCATTCATTGAGGCTCTGGAATTTTGAAAATTATAATGTGGAGGCGTTGAAATAACTCTTGACGGTGGTATACGGATAATTATTGAAAATAGTGGTACTAGCAATTTGGGTACTATTGTTTGTATGGTGGAAGTTAAATCGTGTGTTTTCAATAGAAATGTTGGTTTAGTGTATAATTTTGATGTAAGTTTGTGTTTTTCGATCGACGTTTGTGATATAATTTCATTAATTGGATTGATGCTTTACATTACTATTTAAGACTGTTTTATCTTCTGCGAAAAATAATAAGGAACATGTTGACTCAAAATGATGTGTAATATATTCAGATAGGTTTGGATAATGAAGTTGTGGGTCACTATTAATTACATCTATCAGTGGTAAATTTGAATGAATTACCTTGAATGATTGCGGACATCTTTGTATCAATGATTAAATATTCATGGTTTGCAAGTGGCTTATTAAAAGAAGACCCATCTCCCTTTCAGAATGTCAATGAAGTTTGCTTCCCAAAACCAAGAAAGCATGAAGAGTGTGAAGAGAAGGATTGTGATGAATCAGTTTTTATAAACTATGCTCGATGTTCAAAGAAACTATGTTTTGAACACTTTTTTGTGAGTTACCATTTTCATTGAAGCGAGTTTTTTTTTCGGAAATTGTTAGTCATATTTCAACCGACTTGTTTATAAAAATAACCGTGAAATCAGAAAAATCATTCAAGGTAATTCATTCAAATTGTCTTTTAATTTATTTTTTTGATTCAGGCATGTCGAAAAACTGCTTCATTCGCGTAAAAGATTTTTGTATCAAACTATTGTCTCCGTCAAATCCAAATCTTTAGCTCTTCTAAGGACTGAAAACAATGGAATATTCGAATTTGGCACGTTCGATAACCTAGAAAACAGTATTTTTATCGCACAAAACGCATAAGTGCGAAAACGCGTTTTTCTTGGTGTAGTTTCAAGTTTTAGTCTTTCAAAACCTCCTCTAAAACCTTGAAAAATAGTTTTACGGGGATTTCGCAATATGCTCTTTCATATTCACGGATCAAAATTTTTTTTATTGCAAATGGTTTTTCGACCCAAAAGTCCAGTATTTCAAAAACCGGGTCTTTAAACTAAAATTGGGCCAAAACCAATGTAATATTCGAAATCAGGACACTCGATTACCTATTGTCGACTAAGTTTTGGGCCAAAAGCTTCTGGACAGTTGGGGGCCTTCCTTCGTAAGTTATTTTCCTACATGAAATGAGTTTTTTTTGCGACAGGCGATTTAAAGTCAGAGAGTAATCCTTTGTGCCAAGCCTTTAGAAGACACATATACAGGTGGTTTTAGTGGGTTAATTAGCCTTGTAGCAAATCAAGAATAAAGGCAACCTTCTGTAACCAGCTGTAGCGACGAAAGTTATTTTTTTAAATCAATATAGAGATTATCAATCATCTAATTTTAGTTTTGAATGATTTTTTTTGTTCTAAAGGAAAAGGAAATTGTTTTATTGATGCCTGCCTTCTCACAATGATTGGTATTCAAGATAGTTCATTAACTCTTCGTAAACATTTATCTGATTACATGAAATTAAATGAAATAGCATTACGTGATCGGTGAAGATATGCAAGAATATCGTCTGACCAAAAACTACGATTGGGCATTGATTTAGATGATAATCTAGTTGGTCAAATAAACTAGAACTAATTATCTGTAAAAAAATCCGTCAAAATATTTTTTTTGCGAAGCAACTCTTGGATGTTTGTTGATTTTATATCGTTATTAACTACTGAAAAAAGTGTGATGCAAAATCTGAGAATTTGTATTTCCTCCAAGACAGCATATGCTCGCCATTAGTATACATGAAATTGCTTTCTGCTCGCTAATCAGAATGACGTCAAATTTTTCATTTTTCAATACAACGCTAGTTAAGTTTTGAGAAAACCGAGATTTTCAAAAATGTTAACTCTGAGACACTGTGTGCACACAATTCTTCTCACCTTAGCTATATACATTTTGATGCGCTCTTTCAATTG